AAGTGTGTCAGAGATTGTGAGGTTGTCACCGGATAGGATAAGTTCAGATCTGTTTGTTCATAGGATCACTATGGGTTGTACTTGACTTGACAACAACAACAACATCATAGATTATTGTTAATAGGTGCTGTTGAGTACAAGCCCATAGTGACGCTATGAACAACAGATGTGAACCCTTCCCCAACCTGTGCTATCCTGTAGCATAGATTGGTGAGCACATCCAAGGCTGCATCTGTTAATTGAAATAAGTCAATTGGCACCCCGTAGATGCCAAGGCCTTATTTTTGTCAATGCCTTCTTCAATGCAGCTTTAACTTCCTCCTTCTTTACCACTGGCTCCTGCTCACGTGGTACTTCTTGAAATTTTTTAGTGTCAGTTCTTCTTGGTACAATGACTCTGTATATTCCTTCCATCTTCTTTTGGTGCTTTCTGGGTCATACAGTATATTGCCCATAGCGTCTTTCAGTATTGTGACTCAAGGCTTAAATTTGTTTTTTCAGTTCTTGTAGCTTTAGGAATGCAGAGCGAGTTCTTCCCTTTTTGTTCTCCAATCCCAACTCTCTGCACATGGCATCATAATGCTGTGCTTTGTCCGTTCAAGCTGCCCTTTGAAATCTTCTATTGCTCTTTTACTTCAAAATCGTCTGTTCAGCTCTTTTACTTCAGCATGTTTTCCCTTTGTTTTGGCTTCTCAATGCTCTAGTGCAATTTTCAGTCCCTTCTGATATCCATTTCATTTTTTTCTTTTTCCTTTGCCTTTGTAATCACCTTTTGCTTTCCTCATGGATGATATCCTTGATACCATCTCATCATGATTCATCTGTGTTACACACACACACACACACACACACACGTGTATATATGTGCAGATATGTGTATACATACTCATTTGCTGTACAGAGGTAACTCATGGTTGCTGTGATGCTGAACACTGTGACACTGATGTGTCAAGTGCAATAATGGATTCCCATGATGAACAGTGTTTGGTGGCACTCCCCAATTAAAACAAGCTTGGGATCAGGAGTAGCATCCACTTCTGAAATAGCTTGCCTCCAGAAACCCCATGAACTTGGAGAAACAATGCAAGTTATACAAGTGTTCAGGTCTTTTGTTCATAGTGTCACTATGAGTCATCTACAACTCGTCAGCTCTTAACAGCAACGTGTGGGGGGGGGTATGTATGTGTATATATGTGTGTGTGTGTGTGTGTGTGTGTATACATGTAGATTTTATATGCATGCAAAGATATACACCAAATTCGAGATAATGTATTTGAGTTAAGGTAGGGAGTGAGGGAAAGTTCAAGATTGGGCATTTAGCTTTGCCTACAAAGATTTATTTATTTTTATTATTCTAGAGAAGAATATTGAACATACCATGGACTGCCAAGAGAACAAAAAGGTCTGTCCTGGAGAAGGTGAAACCAAGTTTCTCTTTGGAGGCGAGGATTTTAAAACTCCCTCTCACATATTTTGGGCATGTGGCCAAAAGAAACCAATCCTTGGAGAAAGACATTATCTTCAGAAGTTGGAAGGGACAGCACAGACAGAAAGGAAGACCTTGGATGAGATGGATTGACACAGTAACTGGGGAAATGAGGATACATGTGTCGGAGTTAGCGAGACTGCCTCAGGACAGGGTAGGTTTCAGAGCTATTGTACATAAGGTCACTATGAGTCTCGGGTAACTTGATGGCATATAACTACAACAACAAAGTCTGGCTTATCTTTTGTCAAAAGTTTATGTATCCTATATTTGTAGCTTGCAGACAACACAACATTTCTTCTTGAAAGTGAAGAGGACTTGAAGCACTTGTTGAGAAGATCAAGGAATTCAGCCTTTGCTATGTACTGCCTCTTGAGAAAACAGATTCTTGTCACTGGACAAATAGGCAGCATCATGATGGCTGGAGAGATTGAACCTGTCAACAACTTCATCTTACTTGGATCCACAATTGACATGCTTGGTACCAGCAGTCAGGAAATAAGGAGATGCATTGTACTAGGAAAATCTGCAGTTAGGGACCTCTCCAAATTATTGAGGAGTAATGATGTCAGTTTGAGGACTCAGGTGTGTCTGATTCACACCATAGTCTTTGCAATCACTTGCTGTGCATCTGAGAGCTGGATAATAAATCAGGATGACAGAAAAAGAATTGATGTCTTTGAGCTGTGGTGTTGGAGAAAAGCACTAAACATCTCAGGGACATTCCAAATATATCTTGGAGATGGTGCAGCCAGAGAGCTCTTTGGAGGCAAGAATGATGAGGCTTTGCCTCACATACTTTGGACAAGTTGCTAGAAGTGGCTATTCCTTTGAGAAGGACATGATGCTGAGAAAAGTGGAGGGCTGGCGAAGGAGAAGACCCTCAACCAGGTGGATTGGCATGGTGACTGTTGCAATGGGCTCTTGTGTGTCAGGAAGTGTGAGGATGATACAGGATTTGGAACAGGTTTAGATCTTTAGTTCATAGGGTCGCTATGAGTCATAATCGACTTGATGACCCTAACAACATAAGCTGTTTACCCATCACAAGGTCCCAAAGATTTTTTTAAAATTTCTCTTCTAAAAGTTTTAGAACTTTAACACTTGTATTTGGATTTATGATGCATTTTAAGTTAATAGAGTGAGGCAGGGTCTGACAGTCATTCTTACTGTGAATGTGGGTATCCAATTTTCTCAATACTACTTGTAAACAAGCAGAATTCTTTATTTTATAATTGCCTCCCTTAGTCCCTTCATCATCAAGTGTTAATCAACCATAAACTCTTAAGTTTTATTTTAGAACTGACAATTTTGTTTCCGCTTATCTATATACAGAAGTGATAGATCTGGCATGTGCCCTGGTACCACTTGAGGCGACTCACTGCTGACATGTTTCTGTGACAGTTTCTATCATCAACTCTGTGGGACCTACAGGCATTAAAAAAAACACACACAAAAAAAACAACCCCATGTTTTACGGAACTCAAACTTTGCTCTCTTGTAAGATTGTATTTCACACATCATCATAGAGATCCATTTTCACATCGGTGTTTCCTCATTTCTTCTTTCTAAGAAGTCATCAGTTCTTCATATCCATGGTCCGAAGACTTGGAATTATTCTTGGTGCTCGGCGACAAGAAAAGCACGCTCTAGAAGAGACAAAATACACGATTCTTCAGACTTGGTTCAGGTTCCTTTTGATCCCATATCCACCAAACTTAGTATTATTCTAAGACTAACACAGCGTATTAAGCTTAATACTGTTCTCATGCTGTTCAAATACAGTAAATACACAGGCTACAAAAGAGACACATAGATTATATTTAAATTTAGTTTGTACATAGTTTATAACAGGTCCAGATGGTTCTAATTCAACCTTATGAATTGGGATCTGCTCATTGTTCTAATTTAGCCTTCTGAATTGCAATCTACCTATGGTTCTAATTTAGCCTTTTGAATTGCAATCTACTTATGGTTCTAATTTAGCGTTATGAATTGGAATCTAGTCAGTGGCAGTGGAATGGGTTTGGCGTTTGTGCAAGAAAGGAGTACTGTGACACTGGGGCTTAGGTGTTGTGTTACTAAAGCAAATTTGGGCAGTTGAAACCTACCAGGCACTCTTTGGGAGACAGGTGGTGCAGTCTGCTTCTGTAAGGATTTACAGCTTTGGAAGTCCTATGGGGCATTCAGTGGTGATCTGTCTTTACAGGTCATTAGAAGTCAAAATGTGCTAGTGAGCTGTAGTGAGTTTGGGTTGGTGCAAGACAAGGTACAAACCTCAGTTATAAAAAAATCTGCATGTGCAACAAGTGAAGGTGATTGTGACAAAGAATTTGTTTTAAGCAGAGGTGTTTTTTTTTCATTGATAACATTGAAAGGCAGACTATGTTGTCCCTAGATAGGAAGAACTATTGATGCCTCAGAAAAAAAAAAACACAACTGATAGCAGACGCTCAAATCCAAGCACATACTTTAATTTCTATTTCTTAGCCTCATATTTACTTTTCTATAAGAAAATGTGGGATAAACCAAGATAACTTAATTTTGTTACTTCAGTATACGATTGTGGTACAGGGATGCCCCATGAAATTTGATTCATCACTCTATTTTTCTATCTTTTAGGTAGAAAAAGGATTTTAAGATTTTCCAGGAATGCAAACCGAACACTTCTTGTCGTGTGCCATTAAGTTATACCTGACTCAGCGAACATATAGGAACCCTATAGAACAGAGTGGAACTGCCCCAGAGCGCGTCTTCTGAGGTACTCTTCACTGGGACAGAACACTAGATGTATCTCCCCATGGAGCCTCTGGTGGGTCTGAATCACTGCCTATGAGTTGTTGTTGTTGTGTACTCTTGAGTTGAACTCATAGCTGACCTTCTCATGGGTTTTCAGAGGTTGTGAATCATATAGGAAGAGACTTGCTCATCTTTCTGTCACAGAATATCTGGTGGATTCAAACCTTATATCTTCAGATTGGCTGTGCAACTCCTTACCAACAGGCCGTTGAGTCAGAATCCTCCCAGGGCTGATCCTCTAGAGGGTTTTCAGAAGCTTTTAATTGCATAGGAGGGGATTGCAGAATAGCTGTTGGATTCGAACCATATACCTTTGGGTTGCAGCACAGCTCCTTACCACTAGGCCATTACAGTTCCTTTGCCTGTGAATTGGCCATAGAAATTAGACATGGCATCAACAGGAGTCCTTAAAGACCACTTACTGAATCACATATGCAAAAGATAAGACTGCTTGACAGTCTTATCAAGTCAAAGGCTCTTATAAAAGGCTTGTGGCAGTGCATCAACATGTTTCTGTCTAGAAAGGTGACGTATCAAGTTGTAGTGATCTGAGCACATGACACAAAGCCATTTGAAAAATTGGAGAATTGGGCCAGGTAATTTCTCAAGTTCAATCCTCCTCTATGTCCAGTGAATATTCATTTGGTCAGCTGTTCCATTTTCATCTGCTCACTTCATCTTCTACATTCTGTCACCACTCAACCCCCTCTCCCATCTATCTCATGACCAAACACCTGTCTAATCTGTCACTCTTGTTGACATAGTTCAGTGCAGTCCAGAAGGTGAGATCCATCAGGCAGAATTCAGTGAGGCCAAACAGCAACCTTACCCCCTGAAAGTCAGTGTGAGCCTGGTTCCACCAACGCATGGAAGACAGCACAGCGAGACACAACTCAGCCACGGTGAAAATCAACAGGATATAGATCATCCCCTGAAATCCAGGAAATAAAGTCAGTGAGGTAGAAGAAATCCAAACCTTTGGGTCTTATGAGGAGCTGACTGTAGAGATGAAAACTGCCTTATCCATGAGAAAATCAAGTGAGGACACCATCAGAAAGAGGAAGCTGTTCTGAGGACACCATTGGACGGAGTCGAGCGTAGCCAGAGGCTCAATTCAACAAGCGATATGTTCAGCACCTCCTTTGGGAAGGCTGGAAACTCAAAGCCAAAGTCACTGCTGTTGATTTGGAACCAACTCAGAGCTGACCCTCCATTGGGTTTCTGAGGCTACAAATTGCATAAGAGGAGACTAGCCGCCTTTCTCTCTTGGAATCACTGGCAGCTTCACTTGTGTTTATCAGCACAACTCCCTGTGGACTTCACCACCAGGATTTCCTTTGAGAAGGTTAGGAGGAACAATAATTAAGTAAAGGAACCAACCTTGTATACTTACATTAATGATAAGTAAGTCATTGGGCCTACTTTGTGTACTCATGCCTTACTGTCTTGAGATACAACTGTTTCTCATCCTTGTTACCGAGGACCAGAGCAGTGCAGTTCTCTGATTGCATTCCCCTAACCACCTCCATAGCTGCTTGCGCCTGGGCAAGTCTTTCTGTTCCTCTAGCTCCGACTCTTCATTTGTCAAGTGGGCATAGGAATGAATGCCCCATTCTCAGATACCATAAGGGTCCTGGGGGATTAGATTACACAAACTCTTGGGCAAAGAAGGCATATTTTCTATGTCTTCATCTGTCCATATCTCTTTCCTGGGACTTTCTTTTTTTTACATTTTTTTAAATTATTATTAATTTTAATGAACATTTACAGAGATTTTGGATTTCCATTCATTCATTGTTGCACTTTTCTCCCCCACCTCCAGCCCCAGTTCGCTCTTCTCTTTGAAAAGTAAAAGAAAAATTCCTTCATTGATATACAATCCCACCCCCACACCCGCCACCCCCACCCTGAGTATACTCCACTCTGCAACCTTCATTCTGGACTCTTATGATAATCATAATACCCTTTAATATATTGTTTTTAAACTGTTCTCTCCCTCATCTGTTTCAATGCAGTACACATAATTTATCCAGTTTTTCTCATTCTTACCCAACCCTGATGTCAGTCCCATTCTACAGCAGTGGCACTACGCAGTGTTTCCTGGGACTTTCTTGATGCAGGTTGTTATACTGTTGTTAGGGGCCATTGAGTCACGTATAATCAAGGTGTCAAACTGCCAAAGTTGCTAACAACAAAAAGCAACTTTTAAAGAGAGGCAGTCTATCAAGAACTTGAGTTCCATTGTTTCTGTTATGAGGCATGCTTCCTGCAGAACTAACTGGTCACCTGTTAGAACCACGAAGGCAATATGATTGATTGCACAAACCTCCAGATGATGTGCATTCAGGTAAAGAAGAGGTTCCTTATGTCTCCGTTAGCTAAACTTAGTTCTAGCAAATATGTTCGGTATAAGCGCCTTCATTGACTATGTAAAGTTACCCATTGTGAATTCAGGCTCTGTCTACTACACAAACCCTTCCCAAACTCCTCTCTAGACTTTCCCCCAGAAAGACATTCACTCTGCCTGGTGTTCCTTTCGATCACTTGCTATCAGCTTCTTTTGCCATGCCTTTTCTCATTCTGCTATCATTGAACAGGGAAGAAGTCCCCAGAAATGGACCGACAAGGAGCAAATTGAAGCATGAGTATCAACCAGAGCGTTCTACTGAGCCATCTTCTAACTATGGCCTTGACCGAGCTCTATCTTATGACTACAGAGAAGTCCGTATTCCATGCTCCCTTTATTGTTATGTTGTCTTTGAAAAAATCCCCAATGTATTGCTGCTATTCCTATGCCCCTTAGTGCTCCAACTTAAGATCTATTCCTTTTAGCCAAACTTCATTGTTTTCCTTCCTTCAGTAAGGAAGTGTCCCTTTCCAGTCATTACTAGTTCACATAATCCCCATCTTCCTTTGTTTTGATCTCCTAATTTAAAAAAAAAATCATTTTCATGACAGTTTACAGACACTTTCCTCCCTGCCCACTCCTCCTCCCTAGTTCGCTTTTCTGTTTGAGAAGTAAAAAAAAGAAAAAAAAAATCATTGTTATTCAATTCCCCTCCCCAGCCAATTCCACTCCACTATGAAGCTTGCATTCTGGACTCTTGTTGTGACAATAATACACAATCATTTATTCCTCCTAAACAGTTCTCTCTCTCATCTGTTTCAATGCAATATACATTATTTATCCTCTCTTAGTTTCCTCCCAACTCTGATGTCAGTCCCACTTTACAACAGTGGCACAATGCAGTATTTGTCCTTCTATGACTAAGCTATTTCACTCGGCGAAATGTCCTCCAGGGTCACCCGTTTTGTATATTTCATGAGTTCCTTGTTTTTCAGTGCAGTAGATATAAGTTCCATATCAGACATGTCATTACCAAATATTTTTCCCCAGTCTGTGGCTTTACTTTTTACTCTGTCGGAGAAGTTTTTGAATGCGCATTTATCCCCTAATTTTTATAAGTCTACTTCGGTAAGTTATAAGAAACCAAACCCAAAGATACCTCCTCCTCGTGTAATAGTTCTGTATTGCTGAGAGAATTGGAAGGAGAAGCCCTCATCTACAAAGCTTTGCATTCCTGGCATTTCTGAGTTGACAGCACATAAAAGCAATAACAATACCTAGCAATAAGTTTTAGCTTTTAATCATCCAAGTGATTTGGCATTTACTTTTCAATTCAGTCCTAGTTCATCTCACAGCCCAAGACCTTTATCTCAGTCATATAATCTCCTTTCCCTTAGTTACTCAGTCAGAATAGAGAAGCCTTCAAAGAGAAGAAAACAAGAAACCAAGACTTGGAGAAACCTCTTTCAGTTGAAAGATCCCAAACACTTACAGTCACAGTGGTGGTGGCCATGAAGCACTCCCTGTCTTCATAGCGATGATAGTAAAAACTGTAATACATGGTTGGCGTAACTGCTTTGTCCAAGTCACACAACTGTGAGGCACGGTCCAAGCTGAACACATTGATGCACAGGAGAATGAAGCCCACGGCACCCGATAAACAGCTCAGGAAGTTTGCCACCAGGCTGCTCTGCACCTAAAAGAAAAATGCTGAGTGACAGTCACTCCCATGAACAACACATGCATCTATTCAACATCTTTCCCAGTGAATTCCAGTGGTTTATTTCTCTGTCTTCCTCAGGAGATCTAGGATTGATCATCTGTGGCGGTATGCCTTCTGTGTAAATACGTCTCTGATTTTAGAAAGTAAATCCTGGCTCAATAAATCAAGATGTAAAATGCGAAGAAAGGAGGTGGTGCTAGCCAAAATGTTGGCAGTTCAAACCCTTGTGTCATTCTATGGGAGAAAAGGAAGTGGAGGTCAGAATTCCAGAGTTTACTGCCTTGGAAATTGTGAGATTGTTCTATTCTGCTTTTACAGGGTCATTACAAGTTGGAATTGGCACAATAGCAATCAATGAGTTTGGCTTTGTCGTCTGTGAGGTGGAAGAGTGTTGTTCTCCGAAGACGGGGTGATACCTACAAACTCCCCAGGAGAGTATCGCCAGGAGCAGAGATGTTCAGGGACTAGCTATTGTTTCTTTCTTGCCCAACTTACTGAGAAACCTTTTGGGGAAGTGTGAACCATAAAGAGGAAATAAACGAGCAGCTCATTCTTCCTCCCCTATCTGCCTTTCTGCAGAAGTACGCTCACTCCAAGATGGCTATCTGACCCAGAAAGGTCTGGGATTCTAGACAAGTGTGCCATTGGCCACATCCAGGGACAGATGTCAATAGGCAAAATTCTAGACTCAGCATGCAAAAACAACCATATATGTTGCCATAAAAATTTGTTCCATCTAGAAGAAATCTAACGTGTTACAGAGCAGAGCTGAACTCAGTGCTGTTTTCTTGGCTGTATTCTTTAAGTAGTAGACTGTCAGTCTTTTCCTCCACAGCTGAGTGGATTCAAACTGCCAACCTTTTGGTTAGCACTGGAGCACAAACAATTTGCAATACCGAGGGACCTATAGACTCAGGTCCCAGGGCAGCGCCATGTCCGGAAGGAAGCAGCCTGAGGTAGAAGAGAGGTCTGAACAGGATATCAGAAAACCGAGGTCACAGAGTTCATTTTGCTTGTAGCCTCTTTGACGTCTTCTAGTCGTTGGCTCTTCCAGCCCATTTCCCACACTACACTTGCATCTGTAAAACGAGAGGCATGAGCAAAGCCCCAGAGTGGCTTCCCTCTACCCAACTCATAGAAGAGAATGGAACTAAAACCATTCTTCAAAACTGTATGTACGCAGGCAGTGACCACGAGATGAACCCAAGCAACTCACAAAAACTTGGCAGACAAGTCAGGTCCCTGCACCTTGTTGGGATGGCTTCCACTCCCCATGTTCAAATGCTTGTTTTAAACTACTGCGTGGAGGCACCATACCAGGAACCATTACCACGAGCCATTATCGCGAGCTTTATTGCAAGCCTCCTGGGAACTTTCCCACCAAACTTTTTTATTTGATTTGATGATGATGATGATGCAAATTTGCCCCCACACTTTCCTTCATTGATATTCTGCTTCATAAAATCATTCCCATAAAAAAAAAGGACACAAACCCCCTGTAGTTACATGTTTCTTGGCCATCCAAATGTTCTCTCACATCTTTTGCCCATTTTGTGATCGTGTTAAACACAATGTAGACGAATGAAACACTAAGTACATGAACGATCATATAAAACACAAAGTACATGTATGAAACACGATGTGCATGGGTGTATGCAAATCAATAAAAATGTAAAAAGAATTAAAACTAAGGGGCACCTGAAAAAGAAACAAGCCAACAAAACTCTAGTTATAGGTATGTGGGCTTGAAGCACTCCCATTGGCCAGAAATTGGCACATTGTCAAATCTCTTCCAAACTCTCATCCTTTTAGGGACTTAGCAGTGGGGGTTTTAGGGTACAAGAGAGGACAGACAGTGACTCTCTGTCTTCCAAATCCGAATGGTCCCAAAACACTAACTGAAGTCAGTTTTCCTAGACTTCCTAGTAGCCAATTACACTCATAATGCCTTGAATATATATGTATCTTGAATATTTAAGGGGAGCTCTGGTGGCCTAGTGGCAAGGAACTGCAACTACAATCCCAGAGGCGCACTGTTCGAATCCACCAGACGCTCTGCCGGGGAAGGAGGGGCAATCTCCTCCTGTACCAGTCAGATCTGATTTGACGGTACACGCACACAAAAATAACAAAATAAAAAAAAATTAAAATTGAATATTTAAAATGGGTTTGCTCTGGAACAGTGATCTCCAGCACCAAAAAAGGTGAGTATAATATGTGACACAGTAAAATTCATCATTTGACTGTGGTACATCTGAACCTACTCTATAGCCACATCCTGCGCTCTTTAACTTTCTGCCATATTTACTGTGATAATGTTTTTCTCTTGGGGTAAAAGACTCAAATGTTTCTCTGCTAAAAACATAGAGACGTTCTCGTATTGCACTATTCAGTATGCTTGTTGTTAGCCACGTTGGTATACCTAAAGTAATGTTAAATACGTAAAAATGCAGTTGCTCAATCCCAATCACCACACAACTTCTCAGTAGTTGCATTGGCCCTTGAATTAAGTAGTACAGATGAAGTATGGTTCTATCATATCCAAAAGGACTACTAGATGGTACTGGTCTATTGGGCTAGGGCCATAAGGAGTGTTTTGAAGAACATGCTACAAATCTTGAGAAAAGAAAAAGAGAAGTAGTGGCATCAATCTGAGCCTTATCTAAACATTTCTTACTGCTCTTAAGAGATTTTTGTAACAAGAATCTCTGGCCCACAGCATTATTGGCACTCTCACATGTTGCCCCAAACTTCAGACCACTGGAAAGACATATGGTTGAATGAAGAGTTAGCAAACCTTTCCAGAGTCAAAGAACAAAAAATTTCTCTCTATAACCCAACTTTCTTCTCCCTATTGTTTCCATTCCTAGCTTTCCCTGTAAAGAGTAAAAAAGCAGATTAAGTTCTCTTCTTACCAGTACAATTAGTGAAAATAACTAGGACTCAAAGTCTATCCTCAAGTCCAAGTTGCATAAGAAGCATTAGCTTTCAGGTGATGCATCGAGAATGATGGGAGGTGAGTCCTTACACAACCAGCCTTTTGACTGGATTTTCTCAAATGACAATGTCTGACAGGTGAACTTACATAGTACATCTACATGTGAACCTAAATTAATTTTATATTGGAGAACCAACTGTGGAGTTATAAAAAGGCCGTACAAAAAGGTCTTCATAGGAGTTGGTATTTTTTAACCCTAGAGTCTTAAGCTCTGTGGAGAATAGAACACAATACCCCAAAGGCCAGGAGTGATTTAAGTCATGGTGGTTGGGAAAATATACTGTGGACTGGGGTGTGGAAGAACCAGCTTCAATTTGGCCAAACAGCTGCTCTATATTTAAGTTTCTAACCCTTCAAAGTGGCCTTTGAATTTTTCCAAGTTCCACTTGGTGCCATTGACCTATGAGTGGTAGTTCTCCTACTCACCAAAGGCTTCGTTGGCTTTTTCTCTGTGACGATCGATAGAGATCCGGAGATGACAAACTACTCAGAAAAGAGAGAAAAATGTTAGATTACTTTCTGTCTGCTGATGTCATAACAATATTACTATAATGGAGTTCATGGAATACTTTCATAGGAGAAAGCGCAACAGAATTATGGAAAAATAATACAAGATCTGTTAGAATACATATGCCCTCATATTAACATAGCATTCAGAAAAGAGGGAGAAAAGGCAGGTTAGGATGTTCTTCTGATAAACAAAATGAGCGCTGTAAAAACCAAGAAAGAAAGGCTTTTGGCTCTTTAAACAAGTGAAGGAAATTTTGGATTCGTGACCCAGAGGAGGACATGAAAGTAAAACAAGTATGGCAATAATGGTCTTCTCCAGTATCTGCCCTTATGAGACTGTGTTAGTTCACTCAGCACAATGCTCTCTGGCCTCTCCCAAGTTACTTGTAAAAATAGAAGAAGGACTAGTAAAACATGTTCGGGACCTCAAGGTGGGGAGGGCCAAGGATGAGTAGGGGCTAAACCACAGGGCTGCACAGTTTGGTGTGTAAAGATCAGGGGTGGAGAAGGAAACGGGAAGGACCCAGGTAACAAGATAGGGTAATGATAAACCAAGTCAAAACATAATACATGAGAATAATTGTATGAAACACGATTGTGAATGAAGAATAGTGTGGAACACAGTGTATATAAACTTTTTTCCTTTTTTATAATTAATTTTAATAAATGTTTACAGAGACTTAGAGTTTCCATCCATTCATTGTTGCACTTATCTCTCTGCCCACCCTCTCCCCCCCAAATTCACTCTTCTGCTTGAGAAGTAAAAGAAAAACTCTTTCATTGTTAGGCAATCCCTACCCCCAGGTCCACTCACTGTGCAGCCTTCATTCTGGACTCCTGTCATGACAAAAATACCGAATCATATATCCCTTTTAAACAGTTTTCGCCCTCATCTGTTTCCATGCAG